CTATATGGACCTTGTGGGGAGGTCTATGTAACAAGTCCATGGTAATTTTTTATAGAGCAATTTCACTTCAGAATGGTTGTTACAACTGAGAAGTGAAATTTCTACAGTAATCTAAGCCATATTAAAATCTAAAAAATACAAAAACACCTCCTAAAACTATCAGAAAACGAGATCAAGCAATGTTTGATTGTAAAAGTTAAATAAAAACTGAGAAGGATATATAAAGGAAGGATTATATAAATGAAAATTATATAAAGATTATAATTTATTATATAAATAATTTAATATATTAATAATAAATAATAATATTAATTCTAAATATTACTAAAATAAAATATTAATACACATTAATTAATATAGTAATAGACTCAACATTGTGAAAAGCGGTAATCTTTGACTATCATTGACATCAATGGAGTCAAATATAAAAAAAAAAAAAACTCGCAGAGCAGCATCAACTGCAGGGATCTCATTGAATAAATATGCACTTTTTAAAAATTTATAAATTACTCACATATTTTAAAATGGTTTATTTTGAGTTATTTTACTAGTGTACATAAATGTCCCATAGAATTTAGTTGTTAAATACAAGTTTTATTAAATTAGTTTTACTTCAAAATAAAGCATTTACATTTAATATTTCTGTAATACAATTCCTAAAGTTATCTATTAGTAAAAAATTTTTTTTTCATTCACCGAATTGTTATGAGCCCCCCAAAAAAAAAAAAAAAAAAAAGAAGTGGTCCATGGGTAAAAAAAAAAAGTTTGAGAACTACTGGTTTAAATGAATTGAACACCTAAGATATTTTCACTAAAAGTAAGTTTGTAAGATAACAGTTTCCTGCAATATAACACAAAAGAAACATGTTTAAGGATATGACACCAAGTTCTTCTTTACTACTGCTCAGTTATTTCTTTCCCTATTTCTACTGAGTCTAAATCTGTATTACCCAGTCCAGGGATTGAACTCACAATTACTTACAAACCTTGTCCTGTGGGACTCCCTAACCTAGAAATTCAAGCCTTAAAACCAAATTTGCTTTTTGCCTGCCTGCCTGCTGCTTATACTTCTGCTGCTACGTCTCCTTCACCATAGCTACTCTTTTCTTACTCAGTTGCTGCAGGTACTAGTTTCTGCTTAATTTGAAAATATGCTCTTAAGTAAGCATCCAAGGGGGTCGTCAGTGATGTTTTGACTTGGTTCATCAGGGAGTTTCGGGTCTTTCAACATCATACTCCCCATCACCAAATCGACCCAATCAGGGGAGATCAACCCCTGATTCCCCCTTCCAATTAAACGCTAACAGCTACTCTGGCCTTTTTAAAGAATAAGAGGAAGAAAGATCACATATTCTGCGCATCCGATTGGATGTTTGTAACAACCAATCTGCTGCGCAGACTAATTTTTAAATGGCCCGCGGTGGGGACTGCCTTCTTTTCTTATTTCGGTGGATTGCAGTTTTGATGGATAACTGAGGAGGTAATATTAATGTTCCTAAATCTTACCCTATTTCCTTAAGTATTTTACGGTTTAATTATTTGCTGTTTTTATTTTATTTGTACTTTTTTTCTTTTCTTTGGCGGGGATACTGGAACTCAACACTATTATCACATTTTATCGTTTAACCTGTTTCTTAATACAAATAATATACAAAAATGGGAAATGTTCGTATAAATTTAAAAAAAAAAAAATAAATTAGACAAAAGTCTTACATTCGAATAAGAAAATAATTTTTAAAATTATATTTATGTATATGTATCACTAAAAACCGATGACAAACTAATAAAATAAAAATGATATATACAAACGATATATAGCAATGATCAAGAGGAAAAACACTATAAATACACTATGTGCGCGTTATGATTCCGATTTAAAATATACAAAAATGTGAAATGTTCATAGAAATTTAAAAAAAAAATAAATAAATTAGACAAAAGGGTCTGACGTTTGAATAATAAAAAAAAAAACAAACAAAAAAAAACAAGATATCTTCTTTCTGAACTTCTGAGATGGGAAATTATCATTTTACACTGATCTATTTAAACTATTATCCTCATCTTGATTGTTATAATAACAGTATTTTGTCTGTTGTACCCTCCAGCCTCCTTCAGATATCTGTTCTTGTTTAAATGTATGCAGTTTAACTGTGATCGTGAGTTCAATCCCTGGGTCAGATAGTGAAATTTATATATTCTTGTTCTGGGGAACGAGTAGATGTGGCATCCCAAGGACAAATGAACAAATGTGAAATATTGTCAATCATTGGCTGCAGGATCTGACCAATCCATTTTACTGAAATAAATAAAGGATTCCAAGACCAATGCCAACTATGACAGTAAATTGAAGAAGACCAGATGGAGTTGACATTTAGAAATGTTTTGACTCTAACAATCATGATGAGGACAACTGTTTGATTAAATCAGTGTAAAATAATGATTAAATATTTATTAGTATTTAAACTCTTAAAATTGTATTTCCATTTGCAGCATATCACATGGATGAATATCTAAGATTTTCTGTGCTTAAAACAGGAGGTATTTTTAACATTTTTTTTATTTCATATATTTTCAACCTTGGCCCTTATTTTAATGTTTTAGCATCTACATAATCAAGATGACTTGCATGAAATAAAGAGATTGTTATTTCTGTTGTTGGTGACTTGGCAATTATTATTAGAATATGATAATCAGTGAATTTCTAAGGAAGAGATAAATAATCTCTGATTATAATTGTAAAACTGGATATCTATGTCAGGAATGTTATCTCTTGTTCATGTATGAAAAAAAATATGAATCTTTGATCTAAAATTATTTGCCATTAACCAAATCTCTTGTAGACTTACTCAATTTTATTGATTTTTTTTTCTGTATTATTTATGTCATGATTGACAATAACAATATTTATTTTACTCTGTCAAGTTTATTTACATGTTACTAGAATAAAGATTTCATATTGTTCAAGTGAACCTAAGAGATATTCAAAATGTGTTTTGGTGTTTGAATTTAGAAGTGTTTATTTTAATAGACTGATCACTAGAAGAAAGGGCATCTTTGCTTACTTTGAGAATTTTCTTATTTGCATTAAGAAGCCCAGCCAAAGTAACAATTTAAAATTTTTTGACCAAGAACTGAATGTATAATATCTCATGCAGCTGTGGCAGTGTGTACTAAGTTGAAACTTAGATAATCTTTGGGAGGTACAAAATTTTATTTGGGCTTTAAAATTAGATGTTTTAAAAGTATATATAAAGATATACAAAAATATATAAAACAGAGGCAGAGGAAGTACAAGAAAAAAATGACTCTCTGTAAAGTAAATGGATCAAAAACTATAACACCAAAAAAATGACTGACCAGTTATCACTCCTCTTTAGAGCCAATCTAGGACAAAAACATAAATATGCACACAGTGACTAAAAAACAGGGAGAAAAGAAAAACTACCTGCAAATTTGTAATATAAATAACCAACAGAGAACATTTTGACCTTACAGCCATTTCTAAAATGGCTGCTTATATTTATCAAGCCATCATTTTAGAGTCATTTTCTTTTTCTTATCATTGTTCTTCCTTCCATTGTTGTATTTTTCTTTTTTTTTTCTTTTTTTTTTTTTCAAGGCTTTAAAGCCACTAAAACACAATGGGTTTAGAAACCAGAAATATTATTAAGGAACAAAAACAATAGAAGAGTAATCAGGAAAGCAGTAGATATGATTAATATTGCATTTAAATGTTTGAATATCAAAGTTGGCTGGAGAGCTTGGAGCCTGAAGAGAGTTCCACAAGCAAGAAGTGTGAGAAATGAAACTGTTAGCATAAAACTTACGGATACATCTAATCAGCTTAACTGTAAATTGACAAGACCTTGTTACCAATCTAGTACTGGTTTTAAATTCAAAAAGTCTATGTATCATAGTGAAGAGCTTACCTGTGACATTTACTATGAATTTATTTATAGAAACGACACATGGACGCAAGTTTATGGTGGCAGAAATGTGACTGAAGCCGAGATGCCAGGTCCAGACCAATAATATTGCTATTTTGGATTTTATCAAGTATCTCTAAATAAAATATATAGAAGGAGCACTGGGCCATATGTTGCAGCAATATTCAAAGCCTGGGCAAATGGTAGACTTATAGATATGTAAGATAGATTCTAGAGAAAAAATTCTCTAGCATGACACAGTAAACCGACTTTCTTAGCAAGCTGAATGAGCAATGGATTCAATATAGTCTTTCCACTGTATGTCATCTGAAAATGTTAAGACAAGAAAGCACAATGAGTCACTCTCTTGGAGGTTAGCATCAGCCATGCTGATAGAAAGTAGAAAGGGGGTCCTTCAGATGATTAATAGAGAGCAGTTTAGTTTTAGAGGTGTTAAAATTAACAAGCCATTCTTTGCCCCAGTTAACAACATTTCTTTACTGCAAAGAAAATATTTAGAAGGGATATTTATAAACAATCTCCTATTGATAAACACATGCCAAACACATGTTCTCATGTCACCTAAAATCTATACTTAAGAAATCTAAGATCTTCATATCAGCGGCCAATGTAACCCAAGTTTTTCTTGGGTTACATTGGCCCACTCTCACACCAAACATTTTCCTCAACCAACTATAAATATGATACACAAATACACAGACAAGCCAACATTCCACTACCATCTTCAAGAATTATACACACAAACATCACGAGACTGACACAAAAATGCCCACTAGAATCCAAATGTACACATTAACACCACAAGATGAAGACACCTGAGGTCTGCCTGACCAATGAAAAACAAACAACATAGAATCCAAAGTACCAGAACTTTCTCTACCATAATTAATTCCAAAAATTTTTGATGAAGCTTAAATAAAAGCAAAACATGTTAAATTTATAAACATTTCCTATTTGTTCCTTGTCCTATCTTTCTGTTGGATTCTAATCCAAATTGGAACCCAGCTCGTATTTTTATATATGTTTATATATACTTTTAAAACAGCTGTGGCTTATGTCTATATCATGTTGAAAGCCCTGTTCCCATATGATCACCAAAGTTAAGCAACATCGAGCCAGGTCAGTAGATAGATGGGTCACCACTTGTGAAAACCAGGTGCTGTAAGTTTGGATATGCGTGTGGTGTAATGGATGATGAAGTGCCAAGTTCCAGTTCCAGTTGGGTTCCTTATATTAATTATGCAAATAAATACCCTTGGAGAAAGTATGAAACAAATGCTTCTCCCTCATCTATGGGTTAATTAGTAAGACTTGTATCACTAAATTGTTATTATCTCAAAAAAAAAAAATTTCTTACAATCTGAAAAATATTTTCAGGCTTTAAAAACCAACAAAGGGTTGATAAGCCATAGAAATATGAATCAATCAAATAAAGGAAACACATCCATTTTTAAAGCTGTAATAAAATCTCCCTCCCACAGATTGTTTTGTCATTTTTTTAAATTTTTTATTTTTATTTTTTTAAATAGCTGCCACCTGTTTTAAAGTTAGTATTTATTTTTGCCAATTCAGATTTTGTCAAAGTTGTATAAACATGTTGACTTTCATGTCACCCGTATATTGGTGACATGCCGTTTTCGTTTCCACAATGTTTCCAAATACAGGTAATGGTTCTATTTTCAGATTGCTTTGCCAAACGTTTGAGACAAACTATGCATATCTCTATATAAAGCAATGTCTGTGGCTTCCTGTGAACATTTTTGGGATATAGCACTTGGCTTCTCTTAATTTCTAGATCACACCTATTTTGGATAACTCAGTGGTATCAATTGTTGCTCTCTTGTATTGACCAGTGTAGCATCAATCCAGACTGAAATGTGATCGTTCATGTATTAGATCGCGATGTCATTCTTTCACATTTAATCAGTAATCTGTGTTAGATACTTGCTCTACCATTGAAATAAGGTTATTAAAATTTGATATCTGCTATTGATGCCAACTTATATAACAGGTAAACAAGCAACAATGACAATGTACTTTCTGGTAAAATGAAATTATTTCAGGACACCCTAATATTGTTACTAATGATATTTCTTCTGTGTACCATGTCTCTTTAGGACATGAGTAATCACAACTCTTCACAACGGCCTGTTCTTTATAGCTCTTTATAAGGTTTGTCTTTTTGTTATCTCTCCTAATCTGCCAAACAATTAAGTCCCTGTTCTGCCAACCATTTATACAAGCTCTTTAGGTAGGTTACTTGCTGCTTTCCTCTGTCCCTCTTGCCTTCAATATGTCCTGTGAGTGTCAAATTCTTCAAACCCACTTTCTTCATTATGTTTCCTAGAAATTTACACAAGCTCTTAAACATTTTATATGGTATCCTTAATAAATCTACTCATAGAAAACAGTTCTTACTTTCCAATGTGCAAAAGTTGGGTGGAGGAGAGGGTCATATTCAAGTGGCATAGGCATTCATAGTTGGACCAAGAAAGATCTTGAAAAAAAAAAATTTTAAAAATTACTATCCTCTGCCAAGTGTTCCAAGAAGTAAAAGTCAAGATAAGAACAAGCCATACAAGAATTGGTAAAAGAGAAATGGTGCACAGTATGCCACAAAATCTCCAATACCAAAAACACTCTAAACTTCATCTGAAATATCACAGAGGGAAAACGAGTGCCTCAAACTATTTAATCTCTTCGAAGACTATTTCATTCACATAGTCTAGGAAGAGATCAAATAATCTTGAGCTCTCGTGTCCTCCTTATTGTACTCCTGATGAAGTTTGGAATGTTCTGGTAGTCCTTGATTCTATACACAATGATAGTTAAGATAGGACAACAGCAACTCCCTAAATGGTCTATTCTGTTTAATGAAGCATATTTAAATGAAGGATTTTTTTCTATTTGCTGTGTACCTTTAGATCATGACTTTCCAAAATTTCTTCTCCTTTGTAACTCTTAATAAATTTTGTCATAACTCCTAAACCTTGTTCCGCCATCATATACCAGTGGCACAAGCATTCATAGTTGGGACAAGAAAGATCTTGAAAAAAAGAATTAGCATCCTCTGCCAAGTGTTTGAAGAAGTAAGAATCAAAATAAACATTTCCAAAACAGAGCCAATGATTTGAAGATGGAATGAGATCAGTGATGGCACACACCCTAAATCCTAAAAATTAAAATATGTGGAATTTGTAAATACTAAATACTTGAAATATCTCAGTCATAAAAAATTGAGTCTAGGAGATAAGAAAATAGAACATAGAAGAGGCTCTGCTATGAATAGTTTCACCTAACACTTCAAGCTGCTACTGAAACCTAAACATTAATCTGAAAACTCAAATAATGTTCTTAAAATGTTTTATCAGATCAAGGTTCTCATATGGATGCCATGCATTGGTGCCAGAGTTATTCAGAAATATCTAAACTGTTGGTTGTATACAACCATTTTCTCACATCCATTGTTAAAAATGGATTTGAGCAAGTGAAGCCTGAAGATTTCAGTGAAGACAACCCTTCTCCAAATCTTCTGAACTGATGCTATAGAATCACAAACAACTTTTCCAGATTATAGAAACCACATCAATTAAGAACTATTCATTCCCACTCAGGTTTAAATTCAGCGTCCTTCTAGAATGGCTGATACCCCAGGAGAGAGCCCAGTTTGCCCAGTTATTTTAAATCCTTAGTTGGGGCAAGATGGATTCATGCTTTTACCAAGTGCATTTACATGAAGTAAATGAAACATTCAACAAAATTTTTATTTGATGATTCCACTTTCCACCCTGGCAGCCATGATGTGTCTGCACATCCATAGCAACAGAAAAAGCTTCTCATTTAAATCTTTTTTTATTCCCTTCCATCGTTTATTGATTATTATGTATTTTCCAAGGACAAAAGAGTCTATAAGGAATAAGCTAACATATCCGTTACTGTCATTGTTATAATTGTGCTGTTGTTTTTCACCTATTAAAATATTGCCAATATAGAAAATAGATGAATGGAGTGTCGGCTGTTTCTATCAGATTTATTTTTGCCATTTTCTAGTCAGTTTATTTATTTGATCATTTTAGAACACTACCATCCAATTGAAATCAGTGGTAAGCGATTTTAACAAATCAGTCAAATTTTATACATATACAATTTGATTCCAGTTATATACTGAGTAAACATGCAGTTTCTCTTGGATACAATTGACTTTTTATGGTTAATCAAAATGTGTGTAATTTAAAGCCAAAATTTTTACGTTTTTATTTTTTTATTTTGGGGTTGTGAGACTAATTCTTTTTTTTTTTTTTTTGCATTACAAATGTTTTTTTTTTTTGTTTTTTTTGTTTTAAGAATAATTTTTCCAGATACAAGTTCTGCAATTTAACCCATAGCTGGAGAGAGGAGATGAATCCCTAACTTTTTCTAAGGGTATTTGTGCATAAGTAAATGTAATGAACCCAACTGGGATTTGAACTCTGCCCTCTGATTTCTCATTCTGAGCCGCTATCCATTGCATCACCTTCACATCCTTCTTTGGATAGGTTTTTTTCTTATATTAGTTCATTTTTGATGTTAATAACTTCAATGATATGGAGAACATTTTTTCCTCAAGAACACATCAATTTTAAATTGAATGAACTTGTATAAGAGCTGTATTTTCCTCCTTTGTGTTTTTAGATGACATGTCATTCATTACCCGTAAACCTGAACATCTATGCCAACACCAAGTAAAAGTAGAAATCTTATCATCAATGGGCTGCTGTAAAGTTGCTACAGACTACATATTTAATGCATGTACAATTAAATATAATTGAAACAATATATTGTAGTAGAATTATTCTCTTACTTTATATGCTATGTTTCTTCAGGTGATCATGGCTCTCCATAGCTTCCTTCTAGCCACTTCAACTGTAAAACGATGAAACCTTGCCACCAATCTAGTACTGCATTTAAATTCATAAAGTCTAGGTACCATAGAGGAAGGTTTATCTGAACACTTACCATGAAAATATTTATAGAAAAGGCACAGGGAAGCCACATTGCAGCAGTGGGAAAGGGACAGAAGCTGAAATGCCAGGTCAGGACCAATAACATTGCAGATTCTTCTTTGTATTTTAGTAAGAATCTCTAAATAGATTGTAGACACATCAAACCAGATATGGATCTGTCCTCACTGTCCAGCCTTGAAAAAGTTAAAAAGCATTTACATGGCCTTGTGGATGATAAATTATTTTCAATCCTGTAACTAGTCTCTCACTAATCTATTGTTATTTTCCTGGCAAATGTTCAGATGAGCTACATTCCTCAGTTCCACCAGTTCAGACTTTCACAGCTAAGACTGGCCATGCCACATACACAAGGTTAACTTATCCTTGTTTCCTTCATATTCCATTAGGGAGGAAGTTCCACTCAGTTTTCCCCCCACAACTGTTACATTATGAGACAGATTTCTGAGAAGATTCTTCCTCGATCACTTCTTTCTTCTTTTATATGACATGTCTCTTCAGGACGTAGGCAATCATGGCTCTCCACTTTCTCCTATCCCGAGTAGTTCTCAATAAGTTTTGTCTTTTTGCTACTTCTCCCAGACCCTGTTCTGCCATCCATTTGCTTAAGCCCACTAAGTATGTCATGCATTGATTTCCCTTGTCCCTCTTTCCCTCAATCTGTCCTGTGTGCATTAGATTTTCCAAGCCTTCCTTCCTCATTACGTGTCCCAGAAATTTCAGCTGCCTCTTCCTGATGTTAAGTATAAATTTCCTCTTTGTTTGCATCCTCTCCAAAAATCTCATCGTTGCTCATATGTTCAGTCCATGGTATCCTTAGCATCCTTCTGTAGAACCATACCTCTGTTGCTTTGGGACTCTTCTTCATCTTATAGGAGACCATCCAACATTCACTACCGTAAAGGAGGACAGATATCATGTAGCAGTTCAGTACTCTTTTCTTTGTTACCAAAGAAATCCTCCTGTCTCATCATAATGTGCCTAGCTCTTGGAATGCGTCTTTGACCCTCCCAATATGTCTTCAGATCTCAGCATTGCACTTACTGTCCTTTGTCAGAACACTTCCCAGATATTTAAATTTCTGCATCTGCTTGATTTTAGTGTCCCCGACCTGTATATTGCATTTTGGGCTCATCTTTTTGCTGATGACCATGCATTCTGTTTTTTTTTTTGTAGTTTGTTTGTTAGCTTCTGTAGGAGGTTTTATAACTTCCTTTCCATGTCTGCTATTAGCATTATGCCATCTGCATATCTTATGTTGTTAATAAGTCAGGTGAGAAGAGGCAATTTTCCCTTACACTCCTTTTTATTTTTGTATATCTACTGATTTCATTTTTTATCTTTATACAGGTGATTTGCTACCAGTATAGGTTTTTGATTATTCTAATGTCTTTCCTGAATATGCTGAGTAGCTCTAACAGATCTTTGTGGTGTACTTTGTCAAATGCCTTTGTGTAGTCTATAAAATACAGGTGTACATCCTTCTGAATTTGTATTGCTCTTTCTGATAGCATTCTGAGCATAAATATCACGTTCCTTGATCTGGTGTCTTTAAGGAATCTGCACTGTTCCTGTCCTATCTCTCACCTGATTCTGCTGTCTGCTCTATTCATCAGAATATGGATGATGAGTTTTGTTATGTGGCTCATTAGACTATTCGGTGGAGTTCACATTTGTTTGCACCTGGTTTCTTAGGCAGTGCTATAAAATAGATCTGCTGACATCTTCCAGTATATCCCCACTCTTGTAGATTTCATTTATTATTTCTATAATCTTGTCTATGCAAAAATCATCTAAAGCTGTCAGTATCTCTGTTACAGTTCCGTCTGGCCCTGCCACCTTGTTTCTGATCAATTTGGCCAGTGCATCTTCTGCTTCAGTTTTTAGAATTTCAGGTTCGTCAGTAAGTCTGTGTATTATCAGCTGTTCTCTTTTGTCATAGAAGAGTTCTCTAATATATTCATTCCAATGCTGAAGAATTTTTCCTTTCTCCAGGTTTGATGTGGGTTCCTAGTTCAAATTTGCCAGTTATCTCCCCTGCCCTCAAGGGTTAACCATTATCTATCCTATATATCTCCATAATATGTATTTCATACTTTCTCTCTTTAAAGCCTTACAATAAACTTAGTCTTATGGCCATAGCACATTGAAACATTTTTTTTTTATCACTGAAGTTAAGCAATGCTGAGCCTGATCAGTACCTAGATGGGTGACCACTTGGGAATACCAGGTGCTGTAAGCCTGGATGTACAGGTGGTGTAATAGATAATGGATTGGAATTGGAAGTCTGAGAGCCGAGTTCCAATTCCAGTCAGATTTGTTATATTCACTTATGTACAAATATTCTTGGGAAAGGTATGAATTCACTTCATCTTCCCCCTAGCTATGGATTAATTAGTAGGACTTGTATTGGTAAATCATTATCTCAAAATAAAGAATCCTTACAGTCAAAAAATATTTTCTGGTTTTAAATAACTTCTGGAAGGTTGATAAAACATAAAAAACAAATTAATCAACAATAACCCTATTCACTAAACTTCTATCTTGAGTGGCTCTTGGGCCTCGTATTGGGTGAATAATAGTATAAAAAACACCCAAAATTCAGCTGTCTCTGATTGTTAACAGCAGTGTTTTTTTTTTCTGTATTCTTTTTAAAATTTCTTCATTTGTCACATGTTTTGTCCATGTTATTACAACATTCATCTGTCTCTTAAAGCCTTTTCTTCATTTGTGAGGAGATTGCTCAACATTCCTTGCTATATAGGAGATTAGACATGATGTGGTACTATAGCACCTGTTTTTTTCACTTTATATTTAAGTAATCTTGACCTCAGGCATTATTTGATTTGTTAAGTATTTGAAAACACCAAGTGTTTGTCACAGCTTCTTATTATGTAAAATAGTATCCCAACTGAAAAGGAAGTGTTTCCTAGCTGCAATTGTCTGCCTTGCCAATCAAATCTGATACTAAATGCGATTAACATGGATTTATTTTGTTTAACAAAGAAATTTTCTAAGAAAATCTAAGTAACTTAAGGATTGCCTGATGATATCTGAAATAATATTCTCTTTATTTTATGCTCACCCAGTACAAGGCCCAAGAGCTACTCAAGGTAGAGGGTTACTGAATGATGATGTATCAGCATAAGAGGAGGAGGTAACAAGTGCTGTTTATAAGGCTATCTAGGATAGAATATGGTTATCTCTAAACTTTAAGACAGTGATTCCTTTTTTTTCTTTGGGCTGCATTTTTGGAATTAAAATTTGTTCTCGCCTCCATAAAGGGAAGTCCCAGTGAAAAGGTACAAGTAGCCCTATGGCAAAGAATTTCCAGAGATAACCATAGATTCAAAGTCAGAACATTATCATTGATAACTCTCTCCTCCAAATGCGGACCCTAATTACTATATTCTTAATACTTGATATAATGCAAAAATATCACAATGATAAAATCAATCAATAATTATTCATAACTATTTATACCTGGACTCATGCATGCAATTACAAGTAATCTATAATAATATTTTAAATTTTGAAATCATATTGATTTGTAGCATATGAATTTATTGAAACTGTTTCTAAATCTTTGTCTTTCAATCATTCCACCTCACCTGCTTTCATCTTCTGTTGCACCTTTGAGGCATGCTGCACCATTTGGGAACCACTGCTTTAAGAGGTTAAGATTTTAAGGATTGGAAAAACATCCTTTTGGGAGTTTGTTCCATAACATAGCAGTTCTAAGAAAGAATCTGAGTGAAATTTCCTTCTTACTAATAGAATACAAAGCAAAGAGAATGAAAATGATTTGTTCCTGTGTATGTGGCATGTCAGGGCTTAGCTGCAAAGTTCGGATCTGGTGGAACTGAGGGATGTAGCACATCAGAAAATTTGCCATGGAAATAGGGATAGTAATGAGAGGCTTGTGACATTTTGTCTCTCAGAACGGGGTTGCCACGTAGATACTTTTGAACTCTATCCAAACAGCCAAGTGAAGACTGGACATCTCCAGTTCAAATACTACGAAAAGTTTTTAGCGAGGAGAAATAAAATACATCCAATTTCAAAATTTTATTATGTAATCCCTATTCAACATAAACAAACAGTATTTGGAACTAGTATAGAGTAAGTCCTCCATTTGCTGATTTCAGTGCTTGTATTCAATTTTTCATGGATTTGATCAAGTTATCAACAATCGTCTGATCCATATTTTGCCACTCCTTTAGCATTTTTTATACTCTTCAAAAACAAGATTTATAATTTTTTTCTATTTAATATATACTGCAGTTAAATTGAATATGAATTTTTACACAATAACAAGTTAATAATTATAATATAAAGCAATATCAAAGAATTTTCATTTCTGTCTGAATTACTGGGATGACAAGTTATCATTATTTGAATTATTTACACATGATATTGTCCTCATCTTTGTTGTTGTTGTCTGTCCACTATCAAGTACTTCATGGAATTTCAAACTGAACCCTTTATTTAATCTACAGGGATAGATTGTTCTCGTTCTTCTGACCAAATCTAGGGATATCTCATTTAGTTCTTATTTAGTACATATCAGTTATTTTAATTTCAGTGAAAAGTAGAAAAGTGAAAAGCATGAAAATAATTTTAGGGGTTAATAAATGCTACAAAAAGTGACAATGCTGTAGATTATTAAGTAAGGATTAATTAAAGAGGATTTTTAATGTTAGGAAACAAGTGAGATAATAAAGATCTTCATCTTAATGCTTTGCATTGGAACAAAAGAATTTGGGATCACTCAACTAGATCCAACTCAAAGAGTCACTTTTGGTAATAGAAAGAGAACATCATTTTAAGTGTATTTGTGCCCCAAAATTTAGGATCATTCAATTACATCCACCTCAAACAGTCAGTTTGGAGTGAATGTGCATCAGTACAAATGCAAAAGAGGCTTTAAATCATGTGCAGACATGTCTGTTAAGACCAATTACATCTGAGTTTTCTGCTTTAGCAGTAGAACAGCTTGGCATGTCCAGATATGGACCTCTTTGCAACTTGTCCAGATCTGGGTTTCTATCAACTGTCTCTTTTCAATAAAAGTGATGGGAAAGTCAGCAGTGGGCAGTTGGCGAGATTTGGTGCCTTGTAATGTCAGGCCCTTGGACATTTTGTTCCTCAAGTTGCGTGCCGCTTTCCATGCTGTGATTTCTGTGACTTCCAGTTTTTGTTTCCTCCCATTTCTTCCTATTACTCTGGGGTTCTTGGGAGAACAATCAGTTAGGTGTTTCCCCCAACATCAGCACTCTTGCCATACTTTACAACACAGTTTTATATAACATCCAGGATATTAAAAATAAAAAAAATAAATTTAAAAAGCCTAAGTTTGTATTCCAAAATTAAATTTACCTAAATATTTTGGCAGCCATATATTTGAGAATACCATGGACAGAACATGCAAATAGTGAAGAAATCTTAAGGAAAATAGAAACAAATTCAAACGGTCTGAAAGAGACTGTTGAAATTTCTGGGATATGTAATGAAGAAAGAGGGCTTGGAGAATCTAACACTCACAGGATATATTGAAGACCAGAGAAGCAAAGAAAAAAAAGCAACCTTAAGTTAGTGAATGGCAGAACAAGGACAAAGTAATTAAATTTCCCAAAGACAACAAAAGACAGGAGGTTGTAGAAAATTGTGATCATCAGCATCTTGAAAGAATTTAGTACATAAAAGAAAAAATGCTGACATATTGGTATTACTTGCTTACGTTTGGGTAAGAGATTTGAATCAAGGCAGGTTTTGCTTAATTTTATTTGTTTTCTTGAATGTAACAAAAAGCTAAATGAAGTGACTTTTATGTCATTGGTCCTGCTGTGACATTTTGTCTTCAGTCCCTTTCCTACTTCCATGTTAGCTTCCATGTGTCTTTTCTATAAATATTTTCATGGTAATTGTTCTGATGTACTTTTATCTATGGTACCTAGACTTTATGAATTGAAGTGCAGTACTAGATTGGCCACAAGGTATCATCATTTTACAGTTGAAATGGCTAGATGTAACTATCTCTTAGTTCTTTGCTAACAATTTCTTCTCTTGCAGTTCACACTTGTGAAACTCTTTTCCGGCTTCTTGCTTTCCAGCCAACTTTGATTTTCAAAAATTGAAATGCAATGTCAAATGTTAAATACTGTCTTCTTGATTCCTCTTCTCTTATTGTTCTCAAACTTGAATAATGTTTTTTGATTTTTCTTATTCTTTCACATTCAGTAACACCTTGTGTCTTAGTGTCTTTATTGTCTTGCTTGAAATGATTCAAACAAATATATGACTAGAATACTGTTAAATACTGTTTTCTTTTGATTTTTAATGATCAACTATTAATCTACTTTTTATTTGTTTGTGTTATTATTGTTTTGTTATTTTAATCAGTATCACCCCAAGCAAGGCAGTACAGCCACTAACGCGCAATGGGTTACAGGGTGTGGAGGAATTAGGAACAGAAACATTAATAATGAGTAGAAAGAGAAAAGAGCAGTCAGAAGGATAGTAGATAGGGATTGGCATTGCCTTTCATTTTTTGCAGATTAAAGTTGGCTGGAAAATATGGAGATGGAAGGGAGTTCTACAAGCAAGAAGTGCAAGTAAAGAAACTGTTAGCATAGAATTTATGGCTACACCTAGCCAGCTCAATTGTAAATTGATGAGATTACACTGCCAGTCTAGTATTGCGCTTAACTTCATACAGTCTAGTACCATAGTGAGGAGCTCATCCGAACAATTACAATGAAAGTATTAATAAAAAAAGATACAGAAAGGTAACCTGAAGCCAAGGCACCAGATAAGGACCAATAACATTGCTGATTCTTCTTTGGATCTTATCAAGGAGCTCCAGCACTGGACCATATATAGCAACAATGGTGTGAGTGGTATTAAATGGCAATCTCATTTTTTTGTTGTTGTTTTTTTTGGCCTTTATCAAAGAGGCTATTTTAAATGGCGATCTTGTTTTTTTAAAGTAATGGCTAAGCCAAAACATTGTGTCTCAATGTATTTTCTGTTTTACTTTGTTAATGAATTCTTGAATTCTTACTGAAGCCTGTTCAGTTTCCTTGTTTGTTAGCTAAAATATCCATTCAATCTTGCTCAGTTACTGGCTCTTCTGTGTTGGAATCAGTTATTCTTGTAACTGAGAAGCCTTCATGATAATATTAAGCTGGAAGGAATTGGAAAAAGTAAAAGAGGAGGAAAAGATAAGAGGTAAGAAAGGG